GCCATCAAAGTCTTTTTTACGCGCGCGTGCTCACGACAGCAGGAAGAGTCTTTCTTTCGACTACTAGTAGTAAAATGTAGGAAAGCCGCGGCGGTCCGGCGCGGAATTCATTTTCTCCGCTGTGAGAGGAGCGTCGGCTCCCGCTACTTCCGTCGTCGGGAAAGACGGAGAAAGAGAGAGTCCGAGTCGAAATTTTAATTCTTTGTTAAACCTTTAATTCTATTACACAGTAGGAGTTAAAATAGCAAAATAATAATAATAATATACATATTGGTTCTATATAGATTTAATAAATCGGTTCGATTCTAACGATATAATTCCTATTTTGATTATAATGATGTCTTAAATTTCGCTTTTGGCTGCTTTTAGTGTCAAAATAAATTATTTCGAATATTCGTATACACTGAGAAACATTTCAGATAAATTTCGGATAAACCGACTAAATGATATACCCGATTGTTATTTTTATTGTCCGATCAAGTGCTGGGTACTTTGATCCTATAAAATATCCGATCCTATAAATTACCGATGGAATCTAATCGGGAAATTAGTCGTTCTTCTATAGTCGTTGGATAAAGACATGAATTGATCGGATGAAGTGACGAAGTAATCGGACACTGCATTTGATCGGACATATCCGTTTGTTACTTTCTAATTGGATGATTCGATCAGATATGATCGGATATTCTCCTCAGTGTATGAATTTAACAGACATGAGGGTGACTCACTCGTCTCACTTTTCCTCGCTTATTCGGAAAAACTTTTTCTTATCTTTAAGAAGAATCTCACTTCCCTTACCTTTTCCTTAATCGTTCGATCCTTTTGAAAAAAAAAAAAACACTCGATCATAAGAAAAGATGTTCAATAATTTCTTTCTTTAAAGACGGAACGAAGAATCCAACGGAAATAGAACGTAGCGATGACTCTAGCGATACAGCGTTTATAAAGAATTCGGGTCGCTGCGGTCAGATCGCAGTCGTCTAAGATAATTGGACGCGCCGGCTCGACGCATCACGGTTATAATTGCGCACGCAGTCGCGGCGGTGATCACGACGATACGTCCGATTCGATAACCGTAATTACCGCTGTGGTTACGGTGGATTCACTTGTCGCGTTTGCAGGGGCCGCGCAACATTCCCCGCGTTTGTATCTGCCGCTGCGCGCGGACATTAATACGGTTGAGTACGGAATCGTAACCGCGCACACGTTCGCCGAGCTTCTGTTATTATCACTTAGCTATTACGCGTGGAAGCGCCGCGGACGATCGTTGATGCCGATATGTATCTGATTACACGACCGTAACTACCGTTACGTTTAGCTCGCGCGTGCTCCGTTCTCGTACACTTCCGCGTTACGAGGGAGCGAGCGAGCTTTCGCTTGCTTGCACGCCCGCGATAATTGCTAATGATACGCTTGTGAGGCAAACTTTAAACACCCCTCGCATAACCGCCGCCACTGTGTGAATGAGAGCGAGAGAGAAAGAGAGAGAGAGAGAGGGAGGGAAGGACAGCGGCGATAACCGCCGCTATTAATCTTGAGGCGCGCCGCTGGGCGCGCGGAAAATAATACTCCCCGTTTTATTTAATTTAACGCCGCCGATTATTTCAGCTCCACGGATTTCGCGATGTGCGCAAGTTTCGCGCCATTTATTTATGTTCGTTCTGGTAACGACGATATATCCGCCGCGTCGTGCCGGATACGTTTTAACGGCGGATTCACTCCGCGATATCGTCGGTTTCGGGGCGCGAGGCCGATCGCGCTTCTTTCGTTTTCCCGAAAAGCTGAAGGGGATGTGCGAATTGCGAGCACATTCGGGAGTTGATTTATATTTTATCAGCAGATTGTAGAGATAGTTGAAGATCAAGAGTCGTAAAAATACAGATTCTCGCAATGGGGAAATTCATCGGCCACGAAACGGTCGTCCAGATTGAGAGGATTCTCTTCAAGCGAATCGGCGATATTATTTCCGATCAAATCAGTAAAACATATTTCACCGATATCAACGAGTATTCTTGGTGATTTTCAGTGGAAGTACTTTCACTTAGCTCCCCCTATAGTCTTATAATTTCTCATTTGATTTCGGATAGTAAAAGTAGGGTACCGCGAAAAGTTACCGCGAAATCTATAATGTTTCATTGACCATGCAGAGTACAGGACTTCCTTGGATTTAATATATATATTTGTTTGACTTAGATTTTATTAATATAAGCAACAATTTAATATCAAATATTATTCAGTTTGAATGAAAATGTCGTTCCATTAAAGTAAACTATGTCGTTTGATTAAGAAAAAAACAATATCATTTAGAGGAAATAATATTTGGTTTTCAGAAAAAAGTTTATTTCATTATATAGTGTCCTAAGCATAAGGAGGACACCCAAATATCTCCTTTGTTTTTAGTAATATGAGAAATGTTTCGAGCACAATTTCGAAGGAGGAATACTACGGAAGAAAAATTTTTTATAGTCATTTTTTCTGATATTTTTTTTTAAGATTCTCATATTTACGTCCGCAACATATTTAGGTGTTCTCCTTACGCTGGGACACCCTTTATATTAAATATTGTTCCATTGAAGCAAAGAAGTTCTTTAATATTTTTCTAATATAATGTTATTTTTTCTATATAAATTATTGCTTACGACAAATGTAAGGTTTGGATGAAAATGGATGAAAATACAAAAGAAATATATTATCGACATAAATACATTTATTGTTCGAGAAACGAAACAATCCTGAATCGGGCGTCCGTTTGTTTGCTCTATTCCAAAAGACAAAATTGGTTTCAACCAGAAAGAAATTTCGTTAAATCCGAAGAAATCTTTTTCCCCGTGCACTATTAACCAAGTCCTTTCCGCGAGATTTTACCGACTGCAGTGCACTTATAACCGAAGTCACTATTTTACAGCAATAACACAGCAACTCCATTTTAAAGAGTACATAAAAACGTGCACGCTCGGCCGGCACGATTGCGTCCGCATTTCCGCAGCGTCCGCGATACTTTGCGCGTTATCTGTTCTTTTTATATATTTTTTTTTCTTTTTTACCTTCTTCTTTTTTCTTTTCCAACATTGCCGAGCAGAAATTCGGTGGTCCAGCGCGACAGATAAGCCGAATCCGCTTGGCGGTACATCGCATTTCTCTCTCTCTCTCTCCCTCCCTCTCTCCGTCTCTCCCTGTAGCGCGCGTCTCCCACACACCCGAGATTTGCATATATCCGACGTGAAACTCGACGATGACTATTGACGATGATGCGACTGATTGTGGGAGCATAACTACCGCGTTATCGCTCGGAACATTAACGTACGTTAACACACAGCCGCGGCTCGACGGCTGCAGTCTCTCGCGCGGAGGGCTCGTCCGCCCGCAGTTTGACACTTACTACTACCGTGGCCGCGCGGATAACTACCGATGCCTTACCTACTGTCAGCATTATCGCGTTCTATTACTGCCGGGCACTGGCCGCGGTCGCTGGTCCGACTACACTTGCCAATGACTACTGATACCAAGCCGTGCTCAATGCGGAACTGTAACCGCTGTAACGTCCGTTGACGTTTCTATTGGCGCGATCGGGGGAATCTATTGACCCGTATGCGACGGCCAGATAACAATTATTGTTACACGCGCCTGAAGGAAACCACGAGGCTTTCTTCGCGTCCCTCGCGCGATTCTTACATGTTGCACGCACTGTCGCCAATTTTTTACGAAACTTTCTCACAGGTTTCTCCGCGAAATCCTACGTGGAAATATCAAGTTTTATTAAATTTCATTTCGCATGAAAAATTGTTTTAAAGAAGGAATAAATCAAGTATAAATTGGTATTATTGCATCGTATGCACATGTTTTTCATTTAATACATTCAATCATTTGTTTCACCTGAAATATAATAATGTTATTTTATATATTTATATTTTATTGCGTACATATTAGTGATAGTATATGTATTAAGAAATGTATTTTTTAATATGCAATATTGTAAGAGCCAGCATATGCTGCGTTAGTGCCACTAATTAATGCGTAATAATTATGTATTGTCCGTTATGCGTTACGCTGAAATCTGAGCTCCTTATGATTAATCGAATCGTAGGATTTTTGTCGTACAATCACAAAGATAAAAAACTACTAGATTTTCTATGTACTATGGTTTATGTGATTCTCCCACAACCGCTTATGACAAAACTACCCGACTTGGTAGGATTCCTATTAATTTGGCAACAGTGGCCGTATAGGTGCGTGCGCGATACGGAAAACGCGGAAGAAGAATTCATCGCGTTGCGAGAGATGAGTTTTTCTCCGATTCGACGTATTTTCAACGTCGAAAACGAATAATTTTTCAATTTTCCAGTGAGATAATGTTATTGAATTTTTCACATACATATACCCATACGATGGTTAGTGTCTTTTTTTCGTTTTTTTTGAGACTACGTTTTCCTTCGCTGGATATACGGACAAAACGCGATATTTCTCACGTGCGATATTTTCAACGTTGTTTTTCGACGAGACAGGAGAGATTTTTTCCTACAGTACTCTCCTACGTGAAATGTTTCATAGCGAGGTAACAAATATACCTATAGCGCTTTTCTGTTCCAATTTTGAGAAAAAATGTCGATGCCACGTCTTCTTTTTCCGTTCCCTTCGTGCTCGCTTTTTTCTCTTCCCGTCTCTCAAAAATTCGTCTCTCGTATCATATATTTTTTATTTAAAAATAATTGAAGATAAAGCGGAGATATCCGTAAAACTATATTTTAAGTTTTTGTATAGAAAGCGCATATATCTGCATAACGGTGGAGTGATTTATTCGAATTTTCGAGCAGAAAGAGAGAGAGAGAGAGAGAGAGAGAGAGAGAGAGAGAGAGAGGCTCTCTTTTTTCTTCTCTGTTCTCTAGTATCACTCTGGTGTCTCGAAAAGCCAATAAATCCGCGTCTGAGTAACCAAAAGCGTAGCAGAATAACGTCTTTCGGAGATCCGATGCTCATCCTATTCTCTCTGTTTTCTTTTTCAGAACTTGAAGAACCAAATCATGACGACAAACGTTTGGGTGGAACAAGTGAGTACCGTGTTACTTCTTTTTGTGACCACGAGTCACGTACGTGCGTACTTACATATTACAGTAGAAGCGTGAACTTCGTTATTTCACCCGCGATAATTAACCCTTCGTTGGCACGCTTTTTCTGTCGCTCACTTTGACACTCTGTGAAACCCAGTAACTTTTCTGATATGCCTTTACTTAAATATCTGTGCACTTATCCACCGTACAGACCTAATTTTGAATGTACAAAAGGTAAATTTGAAGAAACTGTCAGTATTTTTAAAATAGTTGATTGAAAAAAAATGAAGTATAAGAGAAGACAGTGTATTGATTCTACGCAGAAAGAAGTGGACAATTTTGCACGCTTTAAGAAAAAAATTCCCCACTTATACGCGTGATAATTCAAGATTTCACAGCTGCAGGATCAGAATTTTTCGCTCGAATTAATTCGACCCATGAATGCCGAATCCTTGTCATAATAATTAACCCTTAATTATTCGATGGAATAACGAAGAGGACATGCGTGATACCAATTTGCCGCACTTGCCATCGAAGAAGGATAGCGAGATCGAGTAGGAGTCGTTCAAAGATGGAAAACGATTGCGCAAGCCGACTATCGAAACTCGGCCTCCCCCCCTTCTTTCTCTATCTCTCTTCCTCGTTCGTTCTCTGCAAGTTCCATACATGACACGTATCGCTTTGACCGTGGGGATCTTCCCTTTTGGCGTAAGGCGGTTTGGAATTTCAAAGCAGGCGAATTTCATTCGCGCTTGTCGGCGATGAAATCCGGATCGGCGGATAGCAGTTGGTCTTTATTGGCGTAACACCCTCCCGCTAGCCTCGAGCCACTTTGTGACACGATCGCTTCCCTTCGTTCCTCTGCCTCCTACTTCCCTTTACGAACGCATCGATCGTAATCGTTTCTGCTCTTTGCTCTGTAAGGATTACACTCCTTCTCTCCGCTTACAAGTCGCTGTTAATCACGAGTCACCTCTCGACGTGTTTTCAATCGGGAACCTTTCCCGATTCGAATTTTTTGCCCCGTGTTAAACCTTCATTTCCGCAACACAGTAGGAGCTAAGATAGATAGCTGAATGGGTTCAATTAAATTCTAATAATATCATTTACTCCTGCTTTGACTTTGATGATGTCGTACAATGAAATTTTCTCCGTTTTCGCTGTTACAGCGTCAAAATAGATTGTTCAAGGTAGTACTGAAATTAAATCTATAGAATTACACGTTCAAGAGAGAGAATTTAATAAGTGTATCGTCAGAGTAGGTTTTTATTAGTCTATAGGCAACCTAAATAGATGCAAGCTATCTTTAAGAGCGTCAAGGTAGCATCAAAAATTTCGATGCGGATTTCTTCGTTACAGAAAGATCAAGGTATCGACTTTCGTTTGTCGATACGAATGAGCGAGTCAGTCGCGCGAGCGGCGACGATTATTTTAGTTTCCAAGGAAAGAGGAGTACAACGGTTACGCGATTTCATATTCAGATAGCGAAATATAAAGTCGGAGAAAAGCCGAAGGAGGCTGCGTCGCGCGATGACAGGTGGTACTTCAGAACGGTTCGCTGAAAGGATCTCCCCCTCCTCCTCTTTCTCTCTTTCTCTTTCTCTACAAGCTGGTCCTGCTCTAGGATACGTCGAGATGTCAAAAAGCCTCGCCCTGCCTTACGGAATCTACAAGCGACGGGGCGGTGTCGGTGGGATACATTTTAATTGCAAAGCAGCCCGGGCGCACGTAGTCGTCCGTGCTCGCGCCGGGATGCAACCCTCGTCTTGTTGGAAAATTTCGAATTCTCCGAGAGTCGCGCCGGCCGACTCTGGCGGCGATCCAAAAAACTTGCTACCGCGCGATAGAATGGATTTTGGCCTAGATGTATGGATATTTGTTGGTTGACTTTGCCGGAATTCTTTGAAGTCACTCCAGATCTCGAGCGTGCGCGAAACGAGAGAGAGAGAGAGAGAGAGAGAGAGAGAGAGAAATGGGTTAATGTAGAAAATGTAAAATTTCGACTCAGGTTAGCTCTTACTGTCTTGCAAAATTGAGGGTTCAAAAAAGCTAACTAAAATTTCTGGGGGAGGAAAGAATCTGCAAGATCGTGTTATTAATTTCTCAAAGAGGGAGACAGAGATGGCGGAGGGGAGAGGGATCGATCTTTGTGTCATTTGAATTTCTGAATTCATCGTGTTTACGCCTTTGCGGGAAATTCCGGCCGAGAACGGTCGTCAGAGCGGTACGCCGTTAGCCGCGCACAATGAGCCTTCGGTCGGCTCGATCCGAACTTTCCGGAAGTTCGCCCGAAGGGCTTCTTCTGGCGTTCGTAGGCAGAAGTCCCGATATCGCGCGGCCGCGTGGCCCCCGCTTTTTATGGGACTTGTTCGCCGATGACTCCCCTTTTTATCCCCGGCGAAGCTTTGTTACGATCGTTTGTCAGTGTCGATAAAGCCAATCGGGCGTCTCTCTTCCCTTCTTTCTTTCCTCCCCGTGTCGAAGTCGGTCGGTCCGCGTGGAGGGGCGGAGAAGCGGCCAGGACGCGAAAGGGCCGGAGGTGAGGCGCTCGCCTCGGGCGTCGCTCTCCGTCGATGAGGTGGCGTCTCTTTTATCAGACTCTGCGGAATTGCTCACGATTACTCTGCTCCGGATGGGCGACGGAGGCGGCCGGGCAACCGGGTGGTGTATAGGTTGCGGCTGCCTCGACTGCGTGCTTTGATAGGTTCGGAAGTTCCGCAATACTCGCGGAGTAAACAGTCATATGTTTTTCTTGACAGGAGGGTGGTCGATGCGCGGCCGGAGAAAGTTTAATCGAGTCTCGCGCGCAGGGCCATGGGGGAGGGCGCGCATCTCGTGTCTGTTTCTGTTTGCAAAACAGAGTGGGATATTATCTTCGTCCCCAAGACAAATTGCGTCGATGGAAATAATAGGGCGGGCGGTCAGGGAGGGAGGGAGGATAAGAGGACGATCTGTCTCTCGTCGGCCGATTGGCGTAATTGTCGGGACCGGCGTTTATTAGTAAGGATCTCGCGCGTTACGCAATCGTCGAACCCGGTCATCTCTCGATCGGGCTGTCGAGTGCCGGCCGTGTCGCCTGGATGAGCCGGCTATTGTGTCGATATTGTTTGAATAATTACGGCGCGACGCGGAACGACTAACAGCAGCGGCGCGATTTAATGCGCGCGCGGCTGCGTCGTCCGCGATCCGACTGAGTTTCATCGTCGATATCGTTTCTGTATCGACGGGGAAATCGTGATTGCGAGCACTCCGGGCACAGGCCCAATTATGTCGCGTGCGCGTCGCGGAAATTAACCGTCGAAAAATTATTTAATTGCGTTATCTCCCGGGGTATTATTAATGTCACGTTCGCTCGTGCGCGCTCCGCCGAAAGAGAGAGAGAAAAAGAGAGAGAGAGAGAGAGAGAAATCGAATTCCCATATTCGAACGCCTGTTATTATTAGCGGACGGCTCTCCTCGCTGCCTCTCGTCGTTTCTATTGTGGAACACCAGTGGAAATCGGTGCGAGTTCGCGGCACCGGCCGCCCCGAAGAGTGCCAGGGTGTCGTCTTCGGGAGGATATTTATGCTGTAAATGTGCCGAGGCCGAGCATCGAGTCTCTCTTTTTTTCTTTCTCTCTTTCGCTCTCGAGCACTCCGTTCCTCAGCCTTTGAAACCTGCAACCGTAATATAAGTAGAGGTCGGATTCCTCGCTCTTCCCGTCTTTTGTTCATTAACCGATGCGCCAAGACCCCGGCCGTGCCGCACTTAACTCCTCGATAACACAAAGAAGGCGCGGCGCGTCCGTTACAAAGGCCGGCCTGAATACGAATTCAGCATCGGGCGACGATTTACATAGCGAACAGACAGTGTAGGCTCTCTCCGCCGCTGCGGCTCGTCGTTACGTAACGTTATTGTATCGGGAGAGTCGTTTACGCGGGTTTATTTCGCGAGAGTTCGCCCCCCTCGTTCGCGGATGCATCGCGATATTATTATCCGAGCGGCTTTGTCGTCGAACCGACGGGTTCGCGTTTGTGAATCGACCGGTAGCCTTTTGTCGATCGTCACACGTGTTGTCGCGGCCATGTTGTTGCGGGCGTGATGTTCGAGGCGTACTTGCACGCGTAATAGAAAATTCGAGATCGACGGGGCGAAGCACGTGGCGAGGTTGGAGATGCTTCACTTTGGCATGTACAAGCGACTTGGAACTTACTCGGCGGGTATTCCGAATCGAAATTTTGCTTCTATGTTAAATCTTTAACTCTACAAACAGTCGGAACTATCTAAGGTAGCAAAATACATTCAATTCAGATGATATGCAATTTTCCTCTACTTTAACCCTCTCAATCTACAAGTAACGACAGCTGCTGTGCACCTAGCGAAGTCTTGCACAATTTTACAAATAACATGCAAATTAGCATTATACTCGTTGCTGGCTACATAGAATTAAAAATCCATTTACACAATTACAACGCACACGTTATAACGTAGATGGTTGACTTTGTTTGAAAAATGAAAGAAGTCTTATAATTTGTTAATTTTTTTCCGTTTTTCGAGTGAAGCAGAATGAACTATCTTCGCCTATATTAATGTGTTGCAATTGTGCAAAAGGAATTTTAATTTTTTTTTTCTACAGCCAGTAACGCGTATAGTACTAACAAAATTGCGGCGAAACAGTACGACTCCAGGATCCCCTTAAGAACGTCGAAGTAGCATCCAAAATTTCGACTTGGGATATGAATTTTGATTTCATGGAAGGTTCGATGTTGCTATGAGCTTAGAGTTCCTACAAAAACTCGCTTGCAATTATAATATTCACCCAGATGAGGCCACGAGGCCATACTATCGAAGATATTCGAGGTTTTAAGAGAAAGGTTCCTAAAGGAAAGAAAAAAAAAACAAAGGTTTACGTTGCGACGCGTAACAGCGCGTGGCCTCGTGAATTCCGCGCTGGGGAAACGTAACAAAAAACAGCGGGTGTTTCCAATTTCGACACATTCGACACGCGCGACGGCCGAGAA